ATCTTATTCAGAAGTGAACACAAAGGTAATGAAGATAGCTTTACTGCAGCTCCACAGAGATTTGGTCTAATGTACCAGCACAAAATGAGCTGTAGTTGGTTCAGCAGCAGAATATCACATGCAATCCATGAGGCATTTGGGCAGCATGTCAGTCTGCATGCTACTCCACACCATCACAGCTAGTGAGGGACCATCAGTACAGAGGGAAGGTAGAGCTTTTGCACTTGTTTGGCACTACTGTGGTGAAATGTCAGATCAGTTACCAGAAGTAGCACATAAAATGTTTTGAGATACCCCTGTATATGCTATAAACTCTGCTGCACATACCTTGGACTTACACAAGTGAGTTGAAAATCTGGCTCAGCCAAAGCTCAAGGAACCGTTCTGTTTTAAATAAAAAAAAAAAGTTATGTCTATGCAAATAAACGTTAAAGAAATATATAGGTTCTGTAACATCTGCAAGAAACTATTGAAACATGTTTAAGTATTTCATATACTGCACATTTCATTTCCATGTTCCTCAAGACTGTCCTTAGAATTGATAATGACAGTTCATGAGCTAATTCAGAGCCATAACTACAATTACAGGTAGTGTGGCTACCATTAACTGTTATTTACCTGAACCAAGTAGCAGATAAAACAAAGGACTGAAATGCTGCTTTATATTCCAGTGTCATGAGAATTTATGGCTGTCATATTGTTATGCACATGTTAACAACAAGCAAAAGGAAGTAGGGAATGTAAGAAGGACGTCTGTATCATGTAGCTTCCAACACAAAAGGAAGCTATTCATATTAGTTTAGGAATGTTACCTAGTTTATCTTTTCTCAGATAAGAAAGACACCAATCAACCAATTTAAGATCACTGTAAAGGTCACAGCCCAAGGAACAAAGTGGCCACAATAACTCTCATTTTGGGGGAAAAAATCAAGGTAGCATTGCTCTTGGATTTCCACATGGTCATATAGGCATCTATCTTTAAGCCCATTAAAGCATTTGAAATTAATTGTCAGCACAGTAGTACAGTTCTTGTATAGCAGGTACACTCTCCTTGGACTGTCTCTTCTGACCAACATAGAACCCCTTCTTGTTATTGTTCCCATCCCTCACCGAATGCACAGTTCTATCTGTGCCTCAGTTTTCCTGATCTCATCTTTTCACATCTGGATGGCATCCTATACTCTTTCCAGGCCACCCATTCCTGCTTCCATTAACTGTGAACTTCCTTCTGTGTAATAAATGAATATTAAGATGTTATAATTACAAAATAAACAAGAGAGTTTAGCAAAGCAGATTATGATAACAGAATAGATAGAAAGCTTACTCATACCCTAGACTAACTTACAAAACTCCAGCAGAGCAGATCACCAGGAAAGAACCTCTTTGTCACTGGTAGCCAGCTCTTAAACAGGTCTAGGAAGGGTGGAGCCACCCCTTCCGGCAGCACAGGAGAATTGCCTTCATCTGTGCTCCTCTGGCTGACTCATTGCTCTCCTCAGGTGATCAATCAGAGGTTCAGCTCATGACTCAGCAGTTCCCATACACCTTCTTATCCCTTATTTTGACCAGCAGGTTCTTGCTTAGTCTTGCTGGTTTCTTTCCTCCTCTTCTTGATTTCTTGTGCTGAGGGACAGAGTTCTTACGTTGTCAGAAAGAGCTTATAGAGCTGCCAGCTTTGCTCTACTCCATCATCTCTAAGGACAGCTTCTCAGGGGATCTCATCCAGTAATCCCTTAAAAAGCTGGAATGTCACTCTTCCGAAGTTTGGGGTCCTGTCTCTGTTCTTTCCCATTCATTTCCTATATATCATCCAGGCAGTATTTTGTCAGCAGCTGCTGTTGAGTCACAGGGATCCCTATTAAAGACAAACTTCACCAATGACTGAGAGCTGTGTCCATGGGCTCTCAGATTCCCCTAATTCTTGCTGATTTTTTAATAAAACAAGCCAAACAAGATCTTCACTTCATGTCTCTGTGACAGAGACTTAATGTCTCTGTTACCTTGGATTTTTGTCACAGTCTGATAAGGTGACCATCAGTTTAATGGTACTTGTACATGTGCAACACCACTTACCCACTGAGGCCAGCATTGCTGAGAGCAAAAGTTGGACAGAGGTGACATAAACATATGCCTGTCTTCTCTGACAGTTACATCTTCATTACGTGGCTTTCATGTCATCTTGAAAAGAGCAGATACGTGTAGAAGGCTGTCAAGTGATCCCAGCTTGCTTAGTACTTTTTAGACACTTGCCTGATGGTACACAATGCCTTAGGCTAATCAATACAGACACAGGTGTTAGTCCCCACCTTTTTCCTGAACTTCCTTGTCTGTGAACTCTATGTATTTATACAGGCTATATATACCATGCTAAGATTGAGCTATAATGTGCCAGGACTGCAAACCTGCTGTGAATTTGAGCAGCACCTGCTTGACACCTGGTCAGAGTGTTAGACCGGAGCCTTAAAGTTCAGTAGGAAAAAAATAGCTCCTGGAAAAATGTAATGCTGAAAGAATATCAAGAGGAAGATCAAATAAAATGTAGACTCAAAATACACTCTGTGTTAAGGTCCACCTGTCTTGGTCTGTTTTACTCTAGCACTGCCATGAATGAGTTTTTAACTTTGGAAATACAGCTGCAGTAGGTTTATTTAACAACTGCACAGCTCTGGGCAGCAGCTCCATCACTGAACACTGCTAGGTATTATACAGGTTGAATGAAACACAGATGCCTTACCCCAAATATTTACAGCCTGGCGGACAGATTTGTGCAACTAAGCGTATAGAACAGAATTCTATATGATGTATGGCAGCTGAAACACTTATCATTTCTCTGACCGGTTGCATATGTGTCTGGAGTTTCCCTGCCTCCTCTAACTTTGACCCTTCTCTGCATGACCCCATCCTAGGACATCAGGCACCTTTTGGGGACAGGTTGAGGCCAGGCCAGAACTTCAACCCACAGCTTGGGGTTGAGATACAGATTAATGTATCCATGGCCAGTGTGGTGAGCAGCCTTTTACTTATGCCTCTGTCCTGGGAAATTAGTAGGAAAATGGAAGGTTGAAAGTCCCATATGTTGAGACGATGATTTACTAAGAAAAGCAAAAGCCGTGCATTATAATAATGAAAGTGGAGGAATGCATTCACTGCTTCTCATCAGCAGGTGAATCATGGGTCACTTTCCTGGAAAGCAGGATCTCATGTAACGTTTATAACACTACATTGGGAAAACAAATGTGACCATGAACGTTCCCCATCCCCTGGCTTCCAACAATCTTTTACTGCCCAGTACAATGTCATATGGTACAGGATAATTCTTTTAGTCATCTTAGGCCAGGTGTCTTGGCTATGTCCCTTCTCAACCTTTTGCCCAATCCCAGCCTGCTGACTTTGGGCTGGGAAGGAAAGAGAAAGCCTTGACATTGTATAAGCACTGCTCACCGACTGCCAAAATGCATTAGCAACACAGTTTTAGATATAAATGCAGAACAAAATACCTTTGGGGCTGCTGTAAAGAAAGTTAGTATCTTAGCTCCATCTCAGCTAGACCCAGTACCAGCAGCTGGGCCAAACACCAGCTGGCACACAACAAAATGAATAGAGTCTCAACCATCTAATCCGTGCAAATCAATGGATTATGGCCAGGGAACTGTGTTTGGAGCTGAATATCGGCTTCAATGCACTGAAAACGGCAGCAACAGTGTTGGAATATTGCAAAGTTTCTGCCAGATAGATCCCATGAGTGCTCACCCAGGAACAGAAAGAAAACTATATGCAATTTGTCAGGACATGTTGAACTAATATAGGGCTGAAGGTGAGTTTCCTGGATTGCATCATTACCTGTGACAAGACATGATATCATCACTATGAGCCAGAATCAAAATGGCAGTTCATGGAGTGGTGACACGTGAATTTGTGGTCAAAGAAAAAGTTCAAGTCAGAGCCTTCAATGGGTGAAGTGATGTGGATTGCCTTTTGGGATAAGAAGGGGGTGATCCTTCTGTATTTCCTGCAATCTGTGAAACAGTGGGCCACCTCTGCTGGTGCAGATTTTTATGAGCACAGTATGCAGGCCTTTGACATGGTTGCTAAAAAAGCACAACTAAACATGGTGACAGTGTTGAAAAACGTTGCAAAAAAGTGCTTTGTAGCTGAGAATTTGCTCACCCAAGGAGTGTTATTGAGCACTTTTAACTGTTGTAGTTTCCATGGAAATAAATGGGAGGTGTTACTTTCAGAGCAACTTATGTATCTTGCATACAAGTGGAGAGCTTGGGTGAAACACTCTGCAGAGCTGACTTCTAAAGTCACTGAAAGAAGTGGGCAGCTGTGAGAGCCATGAGCCCAGGCAGCTGTAACTCCAGCTGGAGCAGATGCTCTCAGGACCCTTACACTTACCAAGGCAAACTTGCTGGTGAGTTGATGTGGTGACTGTTTCCTGTGTGCTATTGACTCTGAACATCAGGTCTCCCTACCTACTGTACTCGCTCTGCTGCTTACCCCCCATTCCCACACCAGACAATGTCCACATGTCCTGGAATAAATGCCTTAGGACAATTATCCCTTTCTTCTATCTCTTTGTTACATCCCAGGGAAGAAATCTATCATGATTCCATGTTTGCTGCTGATATGCAGTGCTGCATATAGATAGTGGTGGTTTGGAAGGAGAGATCTGTAGGGGGAAAAAAAGGAGAAATTAGGACCAAGCTATTGAATGTACATTGTCATATCCTATGTGGCCTTAAAGCTTGGCTTTCTGTGACCAAGGTAATCTTAAGTATGTTATGTAATTATGTAAGTATGTTATGCCATACTTACTTAGAGATTTGTAAACATGTTTTTTATCAAATAGCAGTTCAACATTATAGAGTAAAGCCCATTTTTTGATGTTTCTCATGTCTTTATTGTTTGTATGGGGCTGCTGAATCACAGCCTGAACCTCTGATTGATCACCTGAGGCGAGCAATGAGTCAGCCACGGGAGCACAGGTGAAGGCAATTCCTAGACCCATTTAAGAACTGACTGCCGTGGGGATGGATCTTTTCTGGAGATCTCCTGCACTGGTGTTTATTATGTGAGCCCAGGATAGGGTGAGTGTCCTCTTTTCCTTACTCTAGTATTATAATTGTGTTAGACAAACTCCTGGATATGCTATACTATCTGTACATTCATTGATTGTTCAATTGTTACATTTTATCTATAGCATGTTTCATCTACTAATCTCTCATCTCAGAATACAGATGATAGAATATTCTTCATTCTTTTTTTCTATTTACTTCACTGTCTGTTCAATCAGGCCGTGCTTCAACAGCTCATCTGTGAGGATTCTGTGAGAGACAGTGTCAAAAGCCTTGCTGAAGACAGACAATATCCACCATTCTCTCCTGTGAACCAAGCCAGTCATCAGTCATAGAAGCTGACTGTACCAATTTCAGCTGGGATGGAGTTAGTTTTCTTCACAGTAGTGTATATGGTGCTATGTTTTGGAACAGCGACCAAATCAACCCACAAAAGATCAAGTACGCTACTGAAGGGACTGTGGCTTATGGGTAATGATACATCAGAGCTGGCACAACCCAAATGGACTGTGGTCCACAAACAAGGCCACGCTGAAGCAGGCTCACCACAAAGGGGACTGTGAATTCAATGGACATATTATGGACAGATTGCAGGAGTGGTCCATAGGCTAAGGGGATTCTATCTGTGTATATATTGAAAAGCAGGAGGGTGGATGGTGGTTAATGAGGATGTGTTGGATAGCACGGAGCCTAAGAGTGATGTAAATGGTATGGAATAAGGGGCAGTTTGTACTGGCTTTGGCTGGGATGGAGTTTTTTTTGTAACAATTCATATGATGCTGTGCTTTGTATTTGTGACCAAAACAGTGTTGATAATAGACCATTGTTTTAGGTGTTTCTGAACAGTGCCAACACATCATCAAGATCACTCTGTTTAGCATGCTGACCAGCCAGCATGTGGCCTTTAGAGGGCGCAAGGAACAGGGAGGCAACATAGCTAGGACAGCCAATTCTACCCCATAAGAATATCCCACACCATATTATGTTATGCTCAGCAATAAAAGTTGGGAGAAAGAAAGAGGGAAGAGTGGACGTTTGGAGCTATGTTGTTTGTCTTCAGAAGTAACCATTATGCATGGTGAGTCCCTGATTTCCTGAAAATGACCAAATATCTGCCTGCTGGTGGGGTAAAAAGCCAATAATTCCTTCTTTTTCATGGGTCCCTCTTCTATTCCTCCTAGCCTTTCCTTTTGCTGGCAGGATGGAGGAAACACCCCTAGTCCCTTGTATTCCTGACTGTCACCCCAGAGCTCTGTATTGATATTATCTAGGATGTTCCAGCAGTATCATTGGTGTCTACATAGCAAATGTTTGTAAGTATGTAATATTTATGCACTCAAATGCATACTCTTTTATACACACATGGATTGCTAGAGAACCTGCATTTATTTAAAAAAAAGTTGAATTCTGAACTTTGGAGTCTAAAATAAGTGCATATCTGAACGATTATTCTCAGAATGAAGTTTGAAACAATAAGCAGGATTAAAATATTCAGGATTCAGTTTAGCTCACCTCTCTCAAGAAATTATTTTGGTTACTTCCAGTCACATTTTTTACGTACATGCAGTAACAACAGTAAGACAGTGGATTTCCTTGTTTATTTTGACTGTAACAGTATACTCTCTGCTACTGCTCTATCCTTCTGCCTGGATGGTTTTATCTTAAAATAGGCATAGCTATAATTAGACTAGAGATGTATCAAAAGGATATGATTTACAGCAAGGATTTTAACAGTATTTTCCAAGGGAAATAAGAATATACATACTCTGAGACAGTCAGAAACAACTGAACCATATCTCAAAGATTTGGTGTCTCAAACAAAGGTGCCTAAAGCATGGTTGGAATTTAGATCCTCCAGGTTACTAACCTAAACCCCTGACTTCTGCCCAGCCATGCTGGAGCCTCGGTCCTGTAGATACCTTCACATTCCCACTATCTCTTTTTCCTTTTCCTCCTCCTCTTGAAAATAATATAGTATTTTCTGGTGTCAGAAGTGTGCTGGAGCAGGCTGCATGGGCTACAGCTGCTGCTGGAAAGTATTTAATACAATAACAGTTTGATAAAATGCTTATGTTCACAGAACCCAGGTGCGTGAAGAAGATGCTGTTGCAGCACTGGGCAATGTTTCCTGGAAAGTCTCCTTGGAAGCACTGGCAGAGACACTTCTCAGCACTCGTGATGGTGAGAGATCACCAACAGTGTTCTTTAGCTTTCAGGAGGTTTGTGATGGGACTTGCAACTTCTTTCAGAATCAAGTATACAACTATCAGGACCCTTCATATAAAATTCTTTGAAAGAACTTGCATGGCATTGCACTGTATTTTTAAAGGGAAGCTCCCATCTCTCTAAGCAAATTGGTAGCACTGGTTTCAAGCTCAGCATGCGCCCCACAGGGAATAATTAATGGCCTTTGGGACTGCCACACCAACCTCATTGGAAGTTGCTGATCTGGGCTGCTGTAGCCCATTTCTTGGGGATTCAGCTCAGCAGACAGTGACATCTGATTGTTCACCATCACTATCTTTCTCCTGGTGCGCACAGTTCATGACCTTAGTTTTACTTTAGTAAGGGGTTAAATAGCATTAGGACTTTTGAGACCATTAAGTCTCTGACTTAGCAAAGCACTTAAGTAAGCATGCACTTAGCTAGTTTGGTTATCCTGAACATTCCTTACTCACCCAGACAATCCCTTAGCAAAGGGAATAAGCCAGGGTTCAAAACCTCCTTTTGCCATTTTCAGGAAGGGCATTAAGTGATTTCACTTAAGCTTTCACTGGTGTGACTCTGTACCCACATTTATAAATACCCTCAAACAATGACATAATGGGAATAGCTTGAAAGGTTTGAGATAAGCTAGTCTTAGTCTTTGGGATTCAGGAGCTGAGTTGGGATAAATCCCTTTGAATATGTACATCTAGAAAATGTGCAAATAGACATGATCAGAGGCCTGTCTTCAAAGTCAGGGAAGGGTTTTGTTCCCCCCTCCAGAGGAGAAGTTAATGAGAATCCTTTACCCCAGGGTGGATGTACATTTTCTCACAAAGATAGGTGATGCTCAGGAAGATTATCTGGTCTGGGGCTGCCTACACACAAGCTTTGTCTACTCTCAAATATTGTGATCCCAATTGCTTGGCTTCAGGGTCTTACAGACAGTATTTCCGACTGATTTGAAGCCTCCTTGTTTCAGCATAATGCCACCAAAATAAAATCACTGTGGCCGCAAGCCACTCCTGTCCTCATTACCTTTGTAGTGTGCTTTTCTGAGTCTCTCATCTTGGTGGCAATTTCAGACACTTCTCAATAACACATATCTCCATTTTTATTTTCTAAACTAAATATATGGGATGTTTTCTTAATGATTTGAAAGTACAATTCTAATTCCTTGTAGCATTTTTGGCCACATGTATATAAAGTCACGCTTCACACGGTTTTTTTTCTGATGCGTTTTTATATGACATCAAATATTTGAGAACATGCTCTAAGCTGGACAGAAGCAATATAGCAAGGTAATAGTATTTGGTGTATGGGTAGCAGGAAATGCTTAAATGCTTCTATGATCAGTCTTATATTTTTTGTGATGTTGTAAAAGACATTGTGAAAACATTGTAAGGTATGTTTTCCTTACTAATTGAATCATTCCATACCAAGCATGAGATGGCAGAGAGTAGATCACTGCCCATATAGCAAAAGCTGGGATGACAGCTCTCAAACCACAGACTGCTGATGGCTGTTTTTATGCTGGGTGTAGAATCATAGAATCACTGAAGTTGGAAAATACTTCCATGATCTAGTCCAATTGTCCACCAATCACCAATATTTCCTCACTAACCCACGTCCCTCAGGACAACATCTCAATGTTTCTTGAACACTTCCGGGGCAGTGACTTAGCCATCTCCCTGGGCAGCCCATTCCAGTGCCTGAACACTCTTTTGAAGAATATAATTTTTTTAATATCCAACCTCCCTTGGTGCAACTTGAAGCCGTTCCCTCTAGTCTTATCACTAGTTGTGCAGGAGAAGAGGCTGATTCCCACCTCATCACAACCTCACTTCAGGGAACTGTAGAGAGTTATGTGGTCTCCCCTGAGCCTCTTCTTCTCCAGGCTGAACAATCCCAGTTCCCTCATCCACTTCCCACAAGACTTGTGCTCCAGATCCCTTGCCAGCTTAATTGCCATTCTCTGGACACACTCCAGGGGTTCCATGTCCTTCCTGTAGTGAGGGGCCCAAAACTGAATGCAGTACTTGAGATATGGCCTAACCAAGGCTGAGTACACGCAAATAATCACTTCCCTGCTGGCTGCACTATTTCTGATACAAGATGGGATGCCACTGGCCTTCTTGGCCACCTAGGCACGCTGCTGACTCATATTTTGCTGAGCATCAACCAACACCCCCAGGTCCATTTCGTCCAAGCAGTCTTCCCATCACTTTGCCCCAAGCCTGGAGTGTTGCCTGGGGTAATTTTGGCCAAGGTGCAGGACCCAACATTTGGTCTTGTTGAACATCATCACTGTGGCCTCAGCCCAGTGATTCAGCCTGTCCAGATCCTTCTGTAGGACTGTGCTACTCCCAGGCCGATTGACACTTCCTGCAAGCTCACTGCCATCTGCAAACTTACTGAGGGTATGCTCAGTTCCCTTGACCAGATCATCAATAAATATATTAAACAGAATTGGCCCCAATATCAACCCCTGGCGAACACCTCTTGTGACTGGTTGCCAGCTGGATTTAATTCCATCCACCATCACTCTCTGTGCCTGGCCTTTCAGCCAGTTCTTTACCCAGCAGAGTGCACCTGTTTAAAATGGTCTGCCAGCTTCTCCAGAACACTCTGGGAGACAATGTCAAAGGCTTTCCTGAAGTCCAGATAGACCATGAACAGCCTTTCCATTATCCATCAAAGTGAGTCATTCAATCATAGAAGGAGATGAAGTTGGTCAAGCAGGACATGCCTTTCAAGACCCTGTATTCACTGGGCCTGATCCCCCAGTTGTCCTGCACATGCTGAGTGACATGTATTGTCAAACCATGTGTACTACAATTGCCCTATTCAGAGGATCTCATGTTAAATGAATTCTCTGCCTTTCTAATTTCTGTATGTCACTAACCAGCTGAGCAGTGTTTGTTTTTTTTTTTTTTCTTTTTTTTTTCTTTTTTTTTTCACATGGTATTATCTGCAAATGGCAAGCCACATTCAGACCTAGAAGAAAATGATGATGTACTGGCATGAATTTCAATAAAACTAATTTTACGTACTGTGTCTCTGAATGTAATTCATCCTGCGTACAGTAATAACGTCATAAAGAAGGCTAATTAGTTCAAAGAATAAAGAGTATGCAAATAAACTGATACCTTTGTCAAAATGAGAATAGCTTTCCAGGAAATGATCTGTTCAACTCATTAGACCAAGGCTCTACAACTTAAGAGAGTATCAAGTGATTGACAGTAGGTGCTACGCACATCCTTGTCTTTGTGAACTGCCTTTGGTATGTTGTGGGACTTTCCTGCTGCTGGGATTCCTACCATTTATTGATTGTGCCCAGGAGATTAAAGGAGCTGTTTCTGTTTAACCAGAATTCTTGGACAACACAACGTGGAAGGGCATCTGTGAAGTGTCCCATTTGTCTGCATTTCTCCTCTGTCTTTGTTGGCAGGGAGGTATTTGAATTACAGTGTCTGCAGTGACTAGCTCCTGAGCTAGGAGATTCAGGAAAAAGGAAGAGATGCTAAGGATTAGAAATCCCTTGCCAACAACCTTCTGGGAGATAACCCTTTATATTCAGACTTCTAAAATCAAGGAAATACTGGCCATCTAGGCTCTTTGATGGATTTTTCTCTAAGCCAGTTGCCTTGCATAAAGCCAAGAAAACAGCAGATGGAATGCAAATAATTCAATTCTAAATTGATATTTAGAAATTAAATGTGCCCTCTCCATCATTCAGAGGAGCCAAGTTTGCTGTGTATCATAGACTGCATGGGAAGCATGTCATGCCTCCAAGCCTGCACCAAGGCTGCAGAGTCAATGAGGGAAAATACTGCCCTGGGCTCCTGCTTACAGAGGATAATTTTTCAGGACATTATAAGTAGTTTTGTGGGTTTGGAGTTTTCACACTAGCCACTTGAGGAGGAAGTATCAACAGTTCTGCTTGTTTTCAATATAGGCAAAATTATATGTACTGTAAGGTTCTTTGGGGGGGATCAGAGTGGTAACAAGAGACTTCATATGTATGAAATTCAGCCACTCATATTTATTTAATAAACATTTGTAAGGGACTTTTTTGTTGTTGTTGTTCTTAGGATGTTCAGATGCACATGCACAAAAATTCATAAATTCTTTTGTTTTCCTATTGGCTTTGTAAGCAAAATAAATGTGTGTATCATGATGCAAAGTAACCTGCAGATATTTTGTGAGTTTGTTCACTCAATAGTCTCATGCATCTCCGGATGTCATTTATCAAAACCAGATGTTTTTTATATCACTATGTCTTGTATCAGTATCTATTTAAAGTTAAACTGTGAGCAACTGAAGCCAAAGAGGCATGCTTTGATATAAATAAATCAAAGCATATCAGAGTCATAGCAATTAATAATCCAAGACTGGAGCAAACATGAAGAGTAGAAGAAAATCATTCCGACAGGATTGTTTTTGTTTCTCAGTACATATCTAAAGCTTATTAGAAGCAGTAAGTATTTGATTAAACTAGAGCAACTCTCACCAAAATCCCTTGGCAACAATAGGCATTAAGAGGTTCAATTCTTGCAGCCTGAGCAAACAGGCTATATAAATCAAGCCTGGGCTTTTGATTATAATGGTTCTTTATTTATGACAGGTCAGAGAAAGCAGCACTTCACTCGAATCATTCTCAACAGTAAATACAAAAGTTCCTGCTAATGATATGGGGTAAGATCTTGAGCTGTAATGATGTTTCTTGCATAATGTATGGGACAGAGATATTAATGAACCTTGACAAGTAATAATTACTAACTATGGGAGAGAGAGCCTTGGATTGTAAAACCAATTTGAAGTTGTGCAGTTGTGCAGCAGAAACAATGTCTGGGTTCAATCCTGTTAAAATCAGCTAGGAGTTTGTGTGCCTTCAACTGGAGATCATCTTCTTGTCTTCTCCAACACACTTATATCACAGTATCAACTGCTGTATGAGCAGTCAGTCTGACAGAATACTGTTGTCCATAGAAGCATCACTGGGAAGCCAACACTTGTCTGACTTAAAATAATGTCTTTGGGAAATGGTGAAAGAGTGTCCTGTTGAAGTGGTCTCATTCTCCAACTCAGAAACAGGGGGAAGCACTGGAGAAGGAAGTTACTGACGGAGAGCAACAAAAAATTAATCTTTATGATAAAAATCCAGAGTAGAAATCCAGTAGTGAAAAAGTCTCTCTGAACCTGTCATCTATTTCTACAGTTATAGTGGAAGATGCACATCACATTTCTAAAGAGAAAACATCAAAACTTAGACAGTCATTATTTTTTCTATAGTCTTAGTAAATTACGACTCAAGAATGAGATTTTCACTTTCCTGAAGGTGGAATTATTTTGGAACTAGGAATATATACATGTATATTTCGATTTCTAGATGTGAAAGGAAGGCACAGTAACGCCACTGAAGTTTTTATTGGCAAACGAAGACTGATTGAGACATAGTGCATGCATTCAAGAAGGGCCATAGGATGAAAGCCAACTAGTGAGAGATGTGTGGAGGCATTAAGCTAATGGCCCACCACACTTTCTACAGCATAAAAATTCCTTTGCCATTCTGCCAGCTCCGGTTATAAAGATGAAAAAGAAGAAGTACATTTTGTGTGTTTTCTGAGCAGAGGGCTCAACTGGAAACTTTTATGAAGAAGCTGGGATGGTGTAATATCTGTGAAAGCACTATTAGAAGGCTAAAAAAACTACGATGTTGCCAGAACCTTTTTTCTACCCATAATATATTTTTGAGTTTATCCAAAGAGTTTGTGGCAATAGAAAAAGCCAGAATAATATGGTGGGATTTCTTCCCCTAAATTGTCCCTTAAAAACAAACAAACAAACAAACTTCTTTTTCTTTCAAAAGAACCTTTCTACTTGATGCCAGATCTGAAGAAAAGTTGTCATCTTGGCTGGCAGAGATTACTGTTTCTCCACCTACTTTCGCAGCCACTCTGTTCTTCTGTCACGCTGGCATCTTTGGAAACATGAGCCATAACGTGTTGGTAAGGCTGAGGTATAAGCTCATTACATGCATACCCACCAAGAGCAGTCATTAAAATGATCAAAGAGAGTATTGCTGCACTTCACTTCATTTGGCAAATTCTAATTTGGCTGGCAAACCTGAGGCATGTGCTCCCCTTACCGCAAGGATATCAGCGCTGGCTCCGCACTGCTCTTACTAGGGATTCCACCAGTTAGGACCCACTGTGATGCCACATCTCCAGACCAGGGCTAATCTGCTTGTGATGCCTGCAGCACTGCAAGCACTCAGCGAGACGGGAAGCCAGCAGCATCTTTTCTCCTTTTTTCAGCAGGCATTTGAGAGTCTGGTACTCATTATCTGCTGAGGGACGGCTACAG